ATTGTGTGGTAGTTTGAGCATTCTTTGGCATTGCCTTTCTTTGGGACTGGAATGAAAACTGACCTTTTCCAGTCCTGTGGCTGCTCTGAGTTTTCCAAATTTGCTGGCATGTTGAGTGCAGCACTTTCACAGCATCTTTTAGGATTTGAAATAGCTCAACTGGAATTCCATCACTTCCACCAGTTTTGTTCGTGTGATGCTTCATAAGGCCCACTTGACTTCATATTCCAGGATGTCTGGTTCTAGGTGAGTGATCACACCATCATGATTATCTGGGTCTTGAAGATCTTTTTTGTACAGTTTTCTGTGTATTCTTGCCATCTCTTCTTAATATCTTCTGCTTGTTAGGTCCCTACCATTTCTGTCCTTTATTGAGCCCATCTTTGCAATGAAATGTTCCCTTGGTACCTCTATAATTATCTTGAAGAGGTCTCTAGTCTTTCCCATTCTATTGTTTTCCTCTATTTCTTTGCATTGATCACTGAGGAAGGCTTTCTTATCTCTCCTTGCTATTCTTTGGAACTCTGCATTCAAATGGGTATATCTTTCCTTTTCTCCTTTGTCTTTAGCTTCTCTTCTTTTCTCAGCTACTTGTAAAGCCTCCTCAGACAACCATTTTGCCATTTTGCATTTCTTTTTCTTGGGGATGGTCTTGATCATGCCTCCTGTACGATGTCATGAACTTGCGTCCATAGTTCTTCAGGCACTCTGTCTATCAGATCTAATCCCTGGCATCTATTTGGAATCAGTTTGAGAAGAACTGGTATTAATTCTTCTAATGCTTGGCAGAATCTGGCAGTGAAACTATATGCTTCTGGACTTTTGTTTGTTGGGAGGGTTCCAATTATGGATTCATATCTCCTTACTAGGAAGTGAACTATTCATATTTCTACTTTATGATTCAGTACTGGAAAGCTGGTTGGATGTTCCTATCAATTTATCTATTTCTTATAGGTTGTCCAAGTTGTTGACATTTAATTTTTCATAGTAGTCTCTTGTGATTCTCTGTATTTCAGTGGTACTGGTTGTAACAACTCCTCCTTTGTTTCTGATTTTATTTGAGCCCTCCTTTTTTCTTGGTGAGTTTAGATAAAAGTTTGTCAATTTTGTCTATCTTTTCAAAGAACCAGCTCTTAGTTTCACTGATCTTTTCTCTTAGTCTCTATTTCTGCTCTGAACTTTGTTATTACCTTCCTTCTACCAACTTTGGGCTCTGTTTGCTTTTTTTCCTATTTGCTTGAGGTATAAAGTTAAGCTGTCTGAGATTATTCTTTCTTCTTAAGGTAGGCAAGTATCACTTTGAACTTCACTCTAAGAAATGCTTCTGCTGCATCCCATTAATTTTGGTATATTGTATTTTCATTTGTTTCAAGGTATTTTTTTACTTCTCCTGTGATTTCTTTGTTGACCTATTGGTTACTCAGTAGCATGCTGTTTAAGCTGTACATATATGTGAATTTTTTAGTCATCTTGTAACCAATTTCTAGTTTCATACTGCTGTGGTCCAAAAAGAGATGCCTGATATGACTCCAATATTAAATTTATTATGACTTGTTTTTTAACCTAATGTATGATCCTGGAGAAGGTTCCACATGCAGTTGAGAAGAATATGTATTCTGCTGCTTTTGGATGGAATGTTTTCTAATTATCTGTTAAGTCTATCTAGTCTAATGTGCCAGCGGAGCCTGGCAGGCTACAGTCCATGCGGTCGCAGAGTCAGACACGACTAACTGACCAACATTAACACTTTACATATAACAACCTACGTAACAGTCTGCTTTAAGCTGCAAACAACTTACGTTTGAATACTTTCCAAAGCTCTACATTTTTACTTCTCCCAATTTTGTTTTTCACGTCACATTTTACATCTTTTTATCTTGTGAATCCCTTCACTAATTATTGTAGTTATTTTTTTTACTACTTTTTGTCTTTTATCCTTCATATTACCTATATATGATTAATCCATCTCTACTTTGTATTTATCTTTACCAGTAAGATTTATACTTTCTTACTTTTGTTACTAATTAGCACCCTTTTCAGCTTAAGAACTCCCTTTAACATTTCTTGTAAGGCCAGTTTATTAGTGATTAACTCCTTTAAATTTTGCTTGTCTAAAAACTCTTTTATCTTTCCTTCAATTCTGAGCAATAACTTTGCCACGTAGAGAATTCTTGGTTAAAAACTTACTTTGAATATATCCCTCTGGCCTGCAAAGTTTCTGCTGATGGTCTTAGGAGAGTTCCCTTGGTTCTTTCCATACTGCTTTTAAAATTCTTTTTTTTAAACTTTCAACATTTTAATAATGTGTCTTAGTGTGAGTCTCTCTGGGCTTCCTGGATCTAATGTCTGTTTCCTTCCCCAGGTTAGGGAAGTTCTCAGCTGTTATTTCTTCAATAAGTTTTCAGCCCCTTTATTCTCCTTCTGGAACTCCCAAAATGTGAATTTTAGTTTGCTTGATGTTGTCCAATAAGCTATGTCCACTTTTTAAAGCTCTTTTTCTGTTTCTGATGTTCCGATTAAGGTGAGTTTCACTGCCCTGTCTTTGCATTCACTTGTCTTTTCTTTGCTTCATGTAGTGTCCCTCCAGTACATATTTCAAATCAGTTACTATATTCTTCAGTTCAGTGACTTCTATTTGTTACTTTCTTTTGTTTTCTATTTTTTTTGTTGAAATTCTCACTGTGCTTATCCATTCTTCTCCCAAGTGAGGTGAGCATTTTATTACCACGGCTTAGAACTCTTTATCAGGTAAATTACTTACCTCTGTTTCATCAAGGTTTTTTCCCTAAATTTTTATCTTATTCTTCTGTTTGGAATATATTCCTGTTTCCTCATTTTACTTGATTTTCTGTGCTTCTTTGTATTAGGTGAAATAGTCATCCCTTCCAGTCTTAAATGACTAACCTCTTGTAGATGAACCTTATTGTTCAACCTTGCCTTAGCTCTTGGTTGCCTCTCAAACCTTGGTGACTGTCCAAGCAGCCTATTTTATATTTACTAGCTCCTGGTGATCAAGGGTGTGCCCAGACCTGTTAGTGTTCCAAAGCAGGAAATCTGGCAAAATGTAGATTCAGACTGATTAGGAAGCGAAGACCCTCAGGCAGCAGCTTTGAAAGTAGGGAAACAGATATAGTCCTGTGGGACTGAACACAAGGGTCAGCCCTGCTGGCCACCCAATCAGGTGATCTGGAGATGTCCCCTGGTTGACAGTCATAAAAATCAGGGCTCTGGACGAGTGTATAAGTTCCTTTCTGGGAGAAACTGGCGAGCTGGGGTGAGGCAGAGGGAGTGAACTGACTGCATCCCCAAGCCTATGTTCTCCGAGAACATACCTGCAGACTCCTAGATGTGCGTCAAATCTGAAGCCTGTCCCTTGTGCTGCTGTTCCAGGCCAAGCAAACGAAGTCTTTTAGAGAAAGACTACAGGGGTTTTTCCGTCTGCTTTCTGTGCATTACCCTGGTGGCAACAGCCTGCCAAGAACTGTCTCACTAACTGTTATAGTCCTGTGGACTCAGAATTATAAGCTACCCTGGCCTCCAGAGCCAGGAGAACAAGGGGTGTCCCCTGGGCTGCAGCTGCAAAACCTGGGGCACCAGACAGCTATAAAAATTCCCCTCTAGTAGATACCAGTGTTGCAGAAGACAGCACAAAGATGACACCCACCAAGGAAAGGGGGGGGGGGAAGTCTTAAATAAAAAAGATAGCACCTGCCAGCCTTAGCATGAGAGAGGGAGAGTCCACTGGTTGGAGGATAAAGTGGCACCCACCAAGAGAAAAAGTCTATAGTAAAAATAAAGTGGTACCTGGTTGCTTCAGGAAAGTAGAGGGAGAGAACAAAAGAGGTGCCCGTCAGCACCTCACGCCCTGGCCCTTCAAACTGACACTTTAAGATCAGCAAATGAATCTCCTTCACATGGCCGCTTGTATGCTAGAACCTAGAGTGCATAAGTCTGCATGCAAGCCCTTTAAAGCTGTTTCTCAGATCCCTGCAGCCCTTGGTTCCTGTGGATGTGAGCTCCACTGGTTTTCAAAGCCGGATGTTTCAGGGACTTGTCTATCAAGTGCAGGTCTCAGAGGCTGGGGAGTCTGTGCTGGTTACAAACCGTTTGTTCCTCAGGAAGAAGCTCCAGGTTTCTGAGTTCCATCCAGGTAATAAATAGGCTGCCTTGCTGGGGTTGAGGCCTGTGGTGAAGCTGGATCTCAGCCTCTCCTACTTGCCTCAATGTGGTCCTTTTCTTATGTGTTCATGTGAAGAAGCTATTTAACTATCTTTCAGTCTCTTTAAAAGGGAACATTCCACATGCAGCTATAGATGTGGTGTGTCCCTGGGAGAAAGTAAGTTCAGGATCTTCCTGTGTTACCACCTTGGACACTGTTTCCAGCTCTAATTAGTTTTCTTTTTACGTGAATATTTTTCTCCATTAGTTTCCCTAAATGGTTGTTTTGAAAGCTATTAATTTTTAATATTAATTTCTTAAATAACCACTTTGCTAAATTCTCCTACATCACTTTTTAAGTCAATTCTCTTGATATATATTGATGTCAATATATCTCTTGATATATTCAGAAATATATCACCTGTACTAATAACTTTGGTTCTTTCCCATATTTATCACCAATTACTTAATTCTCTTGTCCAACTACACTAACACATATAGAAAAATCTTACATACTAATAGGAATAATAGTTATCTTTTCCATTTCTTTCAATGCTTTAGGTATTACATTAAGATTGATATGCTAGTCTTTTCAGGTGAAGGACATATTCATATATTTATATTTACTCAGTATTTTAATTGGTAATAGGTGGTGAATTTGATCAAATTGGTCAAAATCTCCATAAGCTTATTAAAAGATTTTAAAATTTTGAAATATCTTTGCATTGCTTAAATGAACTTCATTTTGGCCGTGACATGTTATTTAATGATATGCAAGATTCTATTTGCTAATGTTTTAATTGGATATTAAAATATTTTAATGTTAATGATATGATACTTACCTGATACTTTAATACATCTACATTATAGTAAGAAGCAGCTGGATTTTGCTCTGATAGCTTCTTGAGGTAGACAGTAACAGCTTGCATGTTCATCCAGAAATCTTTTGTGTTAGAATCACACTGTGATGGATCACTGTATGTATAAGAAATATTTTCATTATTTTATTTATCTTTATTCTCTGCCTCTCTGTAGTAATTTGGTGACTTGGGAAAGACTAGTAGAAATGAACCAAAAGGTATGATAGAAAAAATTAAAGTTAGGGGATAAAGAATGGTACACAGTAGGAGGCTGCCTAAAAGATGAGAAGATGTACAGCAGAGAAGAATTTAACAATAACTATTACCACCACCAGCACACATAAGACAAAGACAGCAAAAGTCTAATTAATCATAATAATTTTGGTACTGTCTTCAAACTATTATTGCTTCAAAGAAGAAAGAAAAAAATCTCTTAAAAAAGGAATTTCACCTTCAAAACAGAAGTACACAAACCTGAACACAAGTTGTGCATTTGGAAGAATTTGTTCTAGTCTGCTGATATTTTTCACCCTGAAGCAGAGCACAGCTGGAGATGGATTACTGGTGAAGACTTTAATAACTCCACTTGGAAATGATATTGTCATGTCACCAGTGATTTTCACAATACACCTGAAAGTGGAGATTGTGAAAAATTTAAAACAGTTTATAAATAAGGCATTTAAATCTCCATTTAAAGCATATTTAGTTTAAAAGGGGCTTTATTTATATATACAGCATTTTATCATAATTATGGATGAATCCTTTCTTAATAAAAAATGATTAATTGTGAAATGATGTATTCATCTAACACCAGTCTTTCCTAGAATTAAATTCCAAACACAAATGGAAGCACACTGATAATGTTTGCTCAAACCATCCCCTGGCGATCTCATAAGGCCACTGCTTCCCTGGTAACACTATCTCCAGCCGTAGCTATTTTCCCCTCCAAACCCTACGAAGTGCTGGGACTGACGGTGGCAGTGGTAGGTGCCTTGCTTCTCACTGCTTCTTACAACTATATATCCTTTCTTCCTTCTGAAAAACGTTCTTTTGAAAGAAGACCCAACTTCTTTTGAAAATTCAAACCATCAGATTATACTACTATCACAACCCTTCAAATCATTTTCAACATTTCATTTCCTGAAAATTTCAGCTCCTGACCCACTGTCAATCTGTTTCTGTACCACTACTCCTATCATAAATTTCTAGTGATTTCAATATCCACACAGATAATCCTCTTAATACTTTGGTCACCTAGTTCTTCAGCCCCTTACCCTCTATGATCCTGCCTTCCAGCCTACCTCAGCCACACTTCAGCCCCTCTATCATCTCAGTCTGACTCCCCACTGATCAGCTAGTGGGGAGTCACTTCCTATGTTTCTAAATCATTCCGTCTAGTACTGCATCTCCAACATCATCAAAAATCTCTATAATCCATGTTCCTTCTAGCTTTTCCACTAATCTTCACTCTTCCTTCCCTTCACATCCTCCGTTTCCCTTCCCCTGAGACTCCATGGTCCATCATCACGCATACTCCTTGCATAACCCACCTCTTGGTTCTCTCTCACTTGACTATGCTTGCTTGGCAAATGTCTTAACTGAATCCTGCTCCTCACCCCCTTCTATATGGCTGAACGTGACTAGAGAAAAACATAACTATACAGCCAGAACTCTCAATTGGAACCCCTTTAGTATTGGTATAGGATATTCGACTACATTCATATTTTCTTTCTCCTTTAACCTGTAAAATATCACCCCCTCCACCTGCAGTCAATGACTTTCCTTTAAATTTTATGAAGAAAATAAAATGAGAAAAGAACTTCCTCATAGTCTCACTGCTAAAATCCTAAATCTCCTTTAGGCTGAAGTCATCTATACCTTCTGCCTTCCCTTCTATTTCAACAAATAAGTCTATGCACCTAAGGTTAATCCTGTCACTTCTGTCCTGTAGCACATCTCATACTGAAGAAATTCACTCATGCAATTGTCCCCTTTCCTGCAGGTTCATTTTCCATAAATATTAAATTTTTCCCACATGCATACTGAAATGCCTATTATCTTTAAAAAACACAAAAACTAAAATTAATAAAAGCCGCCTCTGATTTCTCTCCTGCAGCTGCCCACTTCTCTCTATCTTTTAGGATAGAGCAAACTATCCTAAAAGAACTGCCTAACATTTGCTCTCTCTGAATACAGCTGTCTGTATTTGCATCATCTCCCGCTCCTGAGTTCCCCTGAAGCAGGCTTTCATCTCCACCAGTCTACTAAAGCTGCTCTTGTGAAGGTCATTAATGACCTCTATGATGTCAATGATCAATTTTTCTTGACCTGACACCTGCCTTCATGAAAAGAGTTTATTCACAGTTTCTGGGACACTGCTCTATTGGTTCTCTCCTCACCTCTCATATTGCTTGCTGTCCCAAACTCCACTGCTGATCATTCTTAGCTTTCTGTTTTTAAACACCAGTGTGTGTGTGTGTGTGTGTGTGTGTTGGGGGCGGGGGGCAGGACTTAAGTTCTCATCAGATCTCTTCTTTACATCCTAATGCCCCAGTTTAAAGTGTCATGTACAAACTAGTAACTTCCAAATACTTTCTTTCTAATCTGAACCTATCTCCCTAACTCCAGAATCATGCATTCAACTATCATCAACATCTCCACTAAGCTGTCTTAATAAGTACTTCAAATTTAGCAATCTACACCCTCAACAATCTTGGCAACTCTCTTTTCAAAATATACTCAAAACTGCCATTACCACTCACCATCTCCTCTGCTAACACCCTTATACAAATAACCATCATCTCTCACCTGGACTCCAGTGGTTAACAAACCTTTCTCTCTGCATCTACTCTGGCTCCTTCTAGTTTATTCTCCATACAGCAGGCAGAGCGCTACTTTGAAAATATAGGTTAGTAACTTATCACTTCTCTACTCAAAAGTCTCGACTTGCTTCCCACCTCACCCAGAATGAATTGCAACCTCGCTATCAAGGTCTACAACACCCAGCTTGGTCTGTCCTGTCTGTGGACTTATCGTGACGACCTTCCTCCTTGTTTACGTCTACTCAGTGACATGGTTTTCTCTCTGCTGTTTCCTGAATATTTCAAGTGTGCTACTACCCGAGTCCCTTACACCTCCTAGAATGCTCTTCACTCAAGTTATGTGCATGGCTTGCTCTTCCCTCAATGTCTTTCACACATCTACTTAAATAAACCTCAAAAAGGTTTTCTCTGACCATTTTATCTAAAATAGTAGCTGACTGTTGTTAACTGTTTATCCCCTTAAGCCGATTTATTTTCTTCATAGCATATTCAATACCTCTACTTTTCATAAGTAACATTATTCATTCAAAACACATTCATTCATAAAATATTTGAGCGCTTACCATATGTAAGACTCTGTTGTAAGTGCTGAGGATACTTTAGTAAACAAAAATTCTTCTCTACAGAGCTTACATTATCTCAAGAGAAAACTAATAAACTTTCTTTCATAACAATGAAAACTTATAATAGTCTTACACATATTTAGCACTAAAATATTTAATGAATGAATGTTATACATGAAAAATGAAAGTGATCATTTACCTGAAGATCATTTTCTTAAAAGTAAGAGGTTAAACTAATCCTTCAAGAGTCTGCTGTAAATAGATAATACACTGTACGTCTCTCTTGCAAAAATCACACTTTCACCAAAGATATACATTAGGTGAAGATTCAGAGTTCTATCCCCATCTAGGTCAGCTGCCACAATCCTGTTCTGCTTCTGCTGCTTCAGTCGTGTCCAACTCTGTGTGACCCCATAGATGGCAGCCCACCAGGCTCCCCCGTCCCTGGGATTCTCCAGGCAAGAACACTGGAGTGGGCTGCCATTTCCTTCTCCAGTGCATGAAAAGTGAAGTCACTCAGTCGTGTCCGACTCTTCGTGACCCCATGGACTGCAGCCTACCAGGTTCCTCCACCCATGGGATTCTCCAGGCAAGAACACTGGAGTGGGCTGCCATTTCCTTCTCCAATGCACGAAAAGTGAAGTCACTCAGTCATGTCCGACTCTTCGCGACCCCATGGACTGCAGCCTACCAGGTTCCTCCACCCATGGGATTTTCCAGGCAAGAGTACTGGAGTGGGGTGCCATTGCCTTCTCCGACAATCCTGTTCTACAGATGTGTTAAACAACAGATGTGTCACACTGGTCATAAAACCTGGCCAAAAAGGTACATAAACTAGAAAAAAGCCAACATTATTGATTATAGTGGTTTCTTACATCTGAAAGACAATCTCTAAATGACTATATTTGGTAGCAAAAAGCAAGTAAACAAGTAACAGAAAACCCTAGCATACAGAGAATCAAAAGATAACTCTCAAAATTTTCCACCAAGTCCCCTGTCCCCTGCGCGCGCGCGCGCGCACACACACACACACACATCTTTTAAAAACTAACTTGGTGGGATCTGCCCCTTTAAAGTAGGCATTAACAGACTCTGTGAGGGCAATTGCCACAGGCAGGGTGTCTTGACTTCCAAGGCTGACAGGACTGGGACCTCGTGACACACCTAGAATAAACACAAGTCACCTGTTAATCCCACAGAAAGGTATTTACTGAATACCAAGACAGAGTGGAGTCAGAAGGTTAGCTTGTCACAATTAACTCTATTACTGGTTTCAAAGGTGCCCCAAGTATAAATCTGGTTAAAAAACAGAGCATGAAACAAACTGGACAAATAAAAAGTCAGGAAAACATGTCACACTTTTAATTGAATGACACAGAAGGGTTGGGTTAAGGAATGTCAGAGGGGAAAAAGCTCTTCACATGAAGAGCTGAAGTCACTAAAATATGGCTTCAAAACCATTCAGATATTAAATTCTCTCAGGTTCTACCCACATATATAAGGTAATTAAACTGGATTTTTCTACTTAAGGGATCTGTATCCATTAGGTACTTCTAAATGAACACTGTAATGTGATCATTTACTTATCATTGTGTCTGTATGTGTGTGTACACGCGCGCACACATGTGCACATGCTGAGTCATGTCTGACACTTTGCAACCCTATGGATTATAGCCTGCCAGGATCCTCTCTGTCCACGGGATTTTCCAGGCAGGAACACTGGAGTGGGTTGCTGTAATTCTCTTTAACCTCTTCTTTGTCTAATGCTTGTACTATATTCCCATATTATCCTTCCTTGAATATGACTAATAACATCATTTGGGTATAACATTCCTGACATAAAGTTCACTTAGTAAGATACCTTTAGAGACAAATCATACATGTTTCAAAAGCATAACAAAATGTAAACAAATTCAATGCATGTGTATTTTAAAAACCTATACAAAGTATCTGGTTTTACTTCATGACAGAAAAATCCCTTCAAATAGTGCATTGCATTTTTTTTTCTTTACAAATGTATTCTTCTCATTTATGCCTTACCATTATTGCTACTGATTGGAAAGTGGAACATTTCTTTTAACATATAATTTATGATGCAATTTTGTAGAAATAAATCAATAATTATTCATTGCTAAAAAAATAACCTAGATCAACATGTACCTCTGAAATTTAAATATATGCTTTTTAATGTAAACATTATACAATGTCCATAGCCACCAGGTATTTTTATTTCAATGTGAGTTACTTCGTGATACCTAGAATATTATTTCTGACAAAAATCAGTTTTCTTTGCCTTGCAACTAAACTTAGTATCCTACAAACAATGAGAAAGAGCTTTTGTTACCTTTAGAGGACAGGAAGATTTTATAATGTTAAAGATTTTGACAAATTATGATTTAGAAAGTTCTTCATAATAAAAAAAAAATGGCTCAGTGATTAAAAATACACAGAAACAGGAACTGCTGTTTCTAGGTCACTGGGAAAGTAAACCCTCCCTAACAAGACAACTTAAAATTTCATACAAAAATAAACTCAGTAATAAAATGTATTCACAAAATCACAACAGCTACTATTTACTAAGCACTAATATATGCCAGACACTTTGCCAAAGAGGCATGGAAGAAATGGTGCCTTTTTGAACCACAAGTAGTTTTTTTTTGCAAATCAGAAACATACTTTGTGGGTGATAGGCTGAGTGATGAAAAGACATGAAAATGTGTCTGAAGAAGTGTTTATGACCCAGACAGGACATGGAGGACCTTTAATTTTATCCTTCTGGCACTAAAAGCCACTGAAAATGTTTAAAAGAAACATGATTATGTTTTTCATTCTGCAAGATCACTGAACACAGTGAATCCTTGATTGAAGATACAAATGACTTGACAGGGATTCAAGATAAGGTGAGAGATAATTAAATGAAGGGCTTGATCAAGAGGCAGTAGTTTCTAGGATATGTGATTACAACTATGCAAACACACATTCATGCAGTGGGAAAATTTCACTGTAAATCTAAATTAGTTCAATTTCTTAAAAAATATATTGTTCTAAACTACAGAGTCACTAGAAATTCAGTAAAGCATATTTTCAGAGAAAGAAGAAGGTAATAGTAATCTTTTATTAGAGAAAATTATATTTTCCTAAATATGAAATTAATCTTTTCCCTTAAATAATGTACAAAAGTGAGTATTTACACACAGTCAGGGGTAACATTAACGTCTGCTACTGCTCTGATATTAAAAATCAAAAGAACCTAACAAAGTTATTCTTTTCAATTATCCAATTTGGGCATACAAAATGACAGTTCTTGAAATAGTTTCCCCATAAATTGTAAAGCCTGTTATTAAAATACTGGTGAGAAGGAAAAAGTATTGGAGAGTTAGGGAAAAAACTCAAAATCTACTTAACATTTTTGCATATCGTCCATTTTCCATTTTTGTTTCCATACTGCATATGCATACTTAAAATGTTTGACATAGGAAATATGTACTTAAGTCCCTAAAAAGCCTAAATGTGTACTGTATTATTCAGAATAACTCATTGTATAGAAATAATTCCTTGGATATTCTTTTTAAGGATAATATGCATTCTGACTTAACTGTTGCGTATTTAAACACTGTATGTGTTTTGAAAATGCACAGAGAAAGCTGAAATAAAGAGTACCTACCTTTGTAACAATCAATGAATATATTTTTGTGGAATTCCTTTCAGCTCAGGAGTGAAAAACAGCTGCTTACCCCCAACTACTTCCTGCCTCCGTGCCTCTAACTTCAGCTCACTGTATGAGTGGTTTTTGTATGATAGCCTTTGCTTTGGATGTCTTTATATTATAGTTTTCTTTACAGTCATATATTGTTTCTGGTTCTTTCCTAATCAGTTTTTCTCTGCTTCTGATAGCTCCAGTGGTAATATTTATTGTTATATCTTAATAGGAAAGAAGAGCGGGGGAATGGAAGAAATGCAAAAATACTGTATATTTTTATAATTTATCCAGTATCATCAATAGATCCTGTATAGAAACTGGACATAATTAGTACAAAATTGAGATAGTTAAACCTTAGAGTTATTCTTGATTTCTGAAACACCATACATTTCTGGAAAAGGAAAAATTGGGTAACAGTATTTTAGATATACTTTAGGATCATTAGTCAACACATACATCTGCTTTCGATACAATACCTTGTGAAGTTTCACAGTGCTTTTCAATTTCAGAGAGTGTCCCAATCAAATTATCATCTTCTATCATATTTAAATAAAACAAAATATTGCAGGAAAAGAAAATACTTTCAAGAACAAGAAGAATCAAAAACTTAAATCTTAACAGAGAGCTGAATAAATATCACAATATAGAAAGAGAACATTTTAGGCAGATTCAAAGAAACTGTTGCATGAAGTCCATATTACATCCTGCATGCCTGTACCATCAATGCCACCTACTTTGATTCTCCTATTGCCAGTACTGGCTAAAACTACAAACAAATATTTTCCAACTTAATTGAAATTAAAGTTTCCTTTACAAACAGAAAACCTTATGAATTATCTAGGTAATGGGAAAAGACTAAAGCAATTTTGGTAACTCAGACCTGCTTGATTTCTAACAGGACCCATCTATGTTCTTTAAGACTAAAACACAGATTCTATGGAAATAAAAAGTAAGAAAATCACATATGCAAACAAAATATAAAAAGAAAATGCCTGTTACAGCAAACAGAAATACTTACTGAATATATTATTTACATAAAGTTGGAAAATGGAAAAAACAGTATGCTCACAAAGGTATATAAAATAAAATAGTAACACCATGTTCAGACATTTAGAAATCAAATCATTTCTCTCAGCCTGTACCGCTCATGCCATTTTTATAATGGATACACACAGACGATGCACTTCTCCTGAATTTTGACAAATCAAATTCATTATAATTAAATCAGCTTAATTAGAGTTGGGATTCTGAAACTTAACATGCATCAGAATTGCCTGGAAGGCCTATTCAAAGATTGCTAGCCCCACTCCAGAGTTTCTAACTTGAGTTCTCAGGTGATAGACAGATGCTGCAGGTCCAAGGACCACACTGCAAGCACAAAGCCCTCTTTCTTTTCACAGAGTCAACTGCTTTTTAAAACAAATTTTTTTTAGGAATGCAAATATCAACTCATAGTAGAAAGTACCTCATCATATTTTGCCTTCAAATGTATTCATATTGGGCAAAAGTTTATAAGTTTGATGCATTCTTAACAGTGCTAATCATGATTAAAATTCTCAGATAATATAAAATGTGAAAAAGAAACGGAACTATCATTATTAGTTTGATAATGCCAGGTGTGTTTCAAAAAACCAAAATGTCAAATGTTAAAACTTTACTACCATCAATCAACCCAATCATATTTATCATGCACATGCTAACTTTTGCATGCAATCTGCCATACTTACTTACCTACAGTGGGGGTATTGGCAGCACTTAGCGAAGCAGAAGATGAGATGGAGGAAGAACTTTCTGCCCGCGCTAATGGAGCAGCAGGAGGTGGGCTGGTATTAGAAGTTACAGGTGGGCTGAATGGCCTGGGCTTAAAAACAAAATGTCATTTACCAAAATGCTCAAACAATCCCCCAGTTATCAGAAAATATTTTTAGGTATCAAGTAAGATTAGTTTTAACATACTATTAATAAACCAAATTTATTGTGTTTCTTAAAACTCACAATTAGATGCCATAGAGCTGAAAAGACTATTTTAAAATAATCCTGTCAAAAGAATCTTTGTATATAACACTTTTTCTGTATTTTAAAAAGTGTACTTAAGATAGATTCTCAGAAGTTAAATTATTAAACAGTATGAAAGCTTTTCATACATAGTGTAAAACTGCTTCCCATTTGGGTAACTCACTTTACCCTACTGCCTATAATAATATAAGAGAATTTTTTTTTTTGCACTCTTGCCAACAATGAATAGATGAACCTTAGAAGGAAAAATAATACTTTAAAAAACTTTAGCTAATTCTATAGATAAAAACAAAAGTGTCATTTCTGTCTTATGAGCTGTCTATATTAGCTTTGCCTGATTTAGTTTGAGGAGGTCTTAGTATTATCTGAGCTTTCACTCTTTTTTTTATTTGAAGCAAGCACTTTCTTTCTAAATATTGTTTCACTTTTGCCATTTACAAATCTGTCTACATAATTCACTGTTAATGCCTCCTCACTGAGAAAAGTTTACCCCATTCAGAGGAGAAAATCTTAATTCTATTGTCTTCCCAGTTTTCTGGTTAAAAAAAAAAATACAAAAAATATGATTCTAATTCATTTATCTTTTACTTGGTGGATGGATTTTTTCCTTCCAAATTCATAACTGTTTCAATAATACATTAACAACACTTCCTGAGGTGTTTCATTTGTAAAATATAGAATACTGAACTTAATTAAAAACAACCCTTTCCTGCTTATAAAGTTATGTGAGTTAAGTATTTACCTAGTGCCTACTACATGTCAAATCATGGGTACTGGATACAAAGCAGTGACAGACACTGTTTCTGTCCCCAGTTATTTGAAGAACGTAAAAACAGAAGGCAGAAAACAAACCAACAAAACCAACAATTTACAAACACTTATAAAAATTAGATTATACTGCCTCAGATGTTTTATACTTAGTAAAACTCTGTTTCCCCAAATAACTGATACCAAATAAGGTATTAGTTCCAGAGAATGGATTTCTGATGACTCATTATTATGGACAGCAGGTTAAAAAAATACAGTGGTGTAAAAATGTGGCTGTGGATGTATACAGATGGAGGTGGTACAGAACATGAGGTGTCAGATGTTATGTTAAGGCATCGACATAATGTATTAAGGCATTAGTAGACTATTAAAGATATGAAATTGGCTAAGACATAGTACAGTGAAGGGAGCACACACAAAAAAGTACAGCCGACCCTTTAAATCATCTCTAGGTTACTTATAACATCTAATACAATGTAAATGGCAAATTTTCTGGAGGTTCCCCCCACCTCAAATATTTTTAATCCATGGGTGCAGAACCCACAGAAATGGAGAATCAATTGTGGGTCAACTGTATATACAATATGATCTATGCACTAAATGAAATATAAAAAGTATACAGGTATAAGGAAGAGAATGACAGAATAATTAAATCCACTGTCCTCATAATGGAGTGGGGAGTAAAGATCAAAGAGGGCTTTAACCTAGGTGCTGATATTTAGCAGGATCTTAACGAGAGAGTGCAGTTTCCTACACAGAAAACTAAGGGGCATGTCAAATAGAGGGCGCACAATGGAAACACTGATGCATAGAAAAGCATGATGCATTTAGGGAACAGTGGGACGTTCTGAGTGACTGGTGGGCTTCTCTGGTGGCTCAGCTGGTAAAGAATCCGCCTGCAATGTGAGAGACAGGGGTTTGATCCCTGGGTTGGGAAGACCCCCTGGAGAAGGGAAAGGCAATGCACTCCAGTATTCTGGCCTGGAGAAGCCCACGGACTGTACAGTCCATGGGGTCGCAAAGAGTCAGACACAACTAAGTGACTTTCACTTCACTTTACTTCTGAGTGACTAGCAGGATGCAAAGAGGAGAAAGCTGGACAGTTGGTCTGGTAATGCAGGTTGCTGAGGCAATTTTATAAAAAGTCTTGTAGATTCAGCTAAAACATTCAATACATGGATTATGGGGTAATACTGCAGATGTGTATCAGGGGAGAAGATTAAGCTTGACACTCAGAAATTTAATTCTGGCAATTAAACTGGCAAGTAAAAGATGAAGTAAAGCAGAACAGATTGAAGGAAAGAAGACTAGTTTGGGAGAGCCTGACTCTGAATAGAACCCATAAGTTTTCTCTCATGATCTGGCAACTTTTGAAGACCAACACCTTTCTTTTTTTTAAAGCAATATGTACTTTTACAAGTCAATTAAGTGATGTGAACTCCAGATGCTTTATGTATAAAATAAAGAAAGCTGGACTATATGTCCACCAGGACTCCCTTAGCAGAATATTTCTAGGCCTAAGAACAGGCCACCATTTCTTCCTTAATATTTGACTTTAAGCAGAATTATATGAAAACTGCTTAATTATGAAACAGTGGGTCTGAACTGTATTTTCATAATGTGGTAACTTTCTTAGGAAATGAAATCTCTTTCTCCGGAACAACAGTATTGCTCCACAGGTATGATCACTGAGATAATGTAAGAAAGTGGAGGAAGTATTAGCAGGGAAAATTTTTCTGTGCTGTGAAGACTTGAGTAGAAAATGCCAAGGATTTAGCAGTAAAGGAACATATAGAAAAATATCACTTGCATATTAAATCAAAACACTTATAATGGAAAAGAAAACTGAGTACCTACTATTTCATTAATCCCACAGAGTTTGCCTGAAGTAAGCTTTGGTCTGGAAGCAGGCCTTGGAGGTGGAACAATGGTGCCTACAGAAAGAGGAGTTGTGGGCCTGGCTGGTGGGTAGAAAAAGAGAATTTGAAGAAAATCATTAATACATAGCACTCCTTAGATAAAAACATTCCATTACAGAGGAATCATTAGGATTCAAAGCTCATTTTTCAGAAGTTCTTTTTCTCAGAGTTACCAATAATATTCCTGAAAAAAATGAAGTTTTCAATAAAACTGACATACAATTATAAATTATATTAGCTTCAATTATTTATACATATAAAAATTAAATCTAATGAGGTAAAAATAAACCAATTTAAGGCCTAAGGTCTTTAGTTTCTTGCCAATACTTGTATTTTACAGTTATGTAAGACCAAGCCTTTGAGGCAACATCTTCAAAGCAATAACATGAACTCTAAATAAAATACCTACCTTAATTAAACTTGTAATCTCACTTTTAAGTTGAACTACACTGTGCCACTTTTTGGTGACAATCAAAATATCTTATTAGTTTATAAAAACCTTCCCCAAATCACTTTAATTAATTTTTGGCAAACATAGAAAATTATATATTAACTTCCTAAATCCTACATAAATTTAGTGTTCAATGTTTTTCAACACTATTTGCAAATGTTGCAGTTTTAAAAACCAGAAATACAAATCTCAGTAATCCTAATTAAAAATAACTCTCAGCATGACAGAAATTAATGAATAAAGTTCAAGTGTATATTATCAAAAGTTACACATGTATTAGCATAATCAAAGCAAGAATGTAGAATAGAAGCAAATACATTTAAATAATCTTTAATTAAAATGACCTTCAAATTCTTTTGGTCCATTCTAAAAAGTGGGGCTATAATTCAGATTGAAGAATATATTTCAGTAAGTTCTGTAAGTTTACAATGTGCCATGTTAAAAATATAAGAAAGTGCCTAAGTACGTACACAGAGAAACAAACAGTAGAGCTGAGAACTCATCGTCAGCAAGGGAGGAGTATAAGGAAGGCACGTGGGGGTGGTCGGGAGAGACCCAAAGAAAAAGGCAGTTACACAGGAGTGAAAGCAGATGCACGGGCTACGGGGTTATCTAGAAGACAGAGCATACGGAGAGAGGACAGATGCAAGCACAGTTCAGGTTGCTTGAGGAAAACAGCAAAACCCTGGTAAGAAATCAAGTTTAGCAGCTGCCATCTCCCAGTCAGCACCAGTTCTTTCATGCTGCACCCTTACCTTAAGCTGAAGACTGGAAGAAATGTGAACCTAACCTGAGGGCTGGAATACTCCCTTGTGCGATGACACATTTACTTCAAAGATGTGTTCATTATCAACAAAACCAGCAGCGACCAACACTCAAGCTACTTCACGCTTGTGAGAGGGCTTAACATAGCAGAGTAATAAGGATTAACACTTGAAACTTCACTACGGAACAATCCAAGCCTGGTAGGAGTGTCAAGTTCCACTTCTTCAAATGATCAGAATTTGCTTTTTGAGAAAAACTAACAGCAATATTAATTGACTTTACTGTTTATAAATTAATCTATTAATTATAAGTTATAGTAGATAAATTATAAACAAATCTATCCAAAGCACCCGAGACCCTGAAAGTATTCTCACTGAGCTTCACAATGCAATCTCTGGAGTACCTTCTGGGCTCCACTAGTAATTTTAACAAGTTCATCAGTAAAAGAAATCCACCAACTTTGCAACCATGAAGCAGAAGAAAATTTTTTATGTTTGCTGGTGGTGTCATCACAGCAGGAGAGCAGAGAGGGTTGGTGGAATACTCTGGTAATGGGTTTTCTAGACCCAAAATCTGACCTGGTTTCAAGTAAACTGTCAATTATCACACGGCCCAGACAAATCAATCTGGGAGAGAAAAGAGGAGTTCCTATTTTGTTCATTAAGAACAGCAGCAACAGAAGAAAGCAACTGAGAACTAGAAGCAACAGGAAAGTCCTAAAATTAGAATATAAATCTATACAGCCAAATAGTTCTTACTTCAGGTTAGTATTATTTTAATTGCTCAACAACAGAAAATTTTAATAATACAGGGAAAAAGACAAGGAGCTCAAACTTAATATTAATTGGGGAAAATAACTACGAGAATAAGGAACTAAATTTAAGGCCCAAAAATATATAAAGCCAGAATTATTCTTGTTTTCCCAGAGGAGCAAAAGGTAGTGCTGAGAGTCAGTAAAAGTCTAAAAGATTTAGTAAGGTGTCAAAGTGATGGTGCTAGGTACATGTGTTCCTCAACAAGTGGTAAAACTGAAAACTGTCACAGGAAGTAAGACAGGCGACATCAGTGTTGGAGTGGAGATGGTCTATACTAGCACTCATCAAAGGGGAGGCAGGTATGAGATATTTATATTAAATTTTATATACATGTTTTTATTATATATAAATTTGTATGTAAGTTATACATATATAGCATTTATAATCTATATGGTAGAAAAAGCAACTGAAAATACTTCTATACCAAGCTCTAAAAATACAAAACACTGAAAGGTTTAATGCTGTCAGTTACTAGCTGATAGGAATTGTTTTCTGAGACTAGTTCAGCTGAGATGGAGTCATTAATGAATTAACATTCTGGGGGGACAAAGAGAGGAGGGAATAATGTGACAACTTGGCCCATTCTAAAGTGAAAATGGGTTATTGGTGTAGATGATGTTAAAATAAAGGGGACATGTACTGCAAAAAGAGGGGAAAGAAATTTAAGAAAAAATGCCTATTTAGTAAGTTCATTTACAGCCAGTCTTATGAAATAGAATCATCATAATGTATTCATCAGTTTTATCAATAATTGCATCCTGTCCAGGTGAAGACCTAATAATAATTATTGCACAGCAGAATGACTCTTTCAATATCACTAACATTCTTTGAAGGGAGAATAATATTTTTTAGACTTAATAGGAAGGTTTTAAAAGGCATATCAAAATAAATTTTAAAATAAGCAAAAAAAAGTTTAATCACTCCCGACGTACTAAACATCAAATGACAACTAAAGTATCATTTTTTTGTTTTACCTGAAGTTGAAAGTAATACGGGGAAAACATTCTTTAGATGGTAGCAAGAGGAAAAGAGCAATTTTTTGAAAAGAAAGAGATTGTGCTAAAGAAAATAGTGAGAAACAATGGTGGAGTTATGAGGAAATTTCTGTATGATGGAAACCTCTGTAAGAACAGACAATGTGAAAATTTTGATTAAAGATAAAAAACCAATTCATAATACTAACTAAACTAAAATTAGGACCTTCTTCATTCTAAAAACAAAATGACACAGTATTCTGACATTTTTACTAAATAAGAAGAGACCTTAATACAACTTCAGTTTTTCCCATACAATTATTTTACTTATAAGATCCATTAGTAAGATCAGTTTCCTAAAAGTGAACAGTAAACAAAAGCCAAATGAGAAAGGCTATAATGCCACTTCAGAATATGTTCAATTATCTGATGACTGGTTCTTGCGCTTCAAAATTCTCAATTGTTTCAGTTAAGGTTGCCTAAAATCCACATAATTTCTAAAACTAAAAAACATTAGTTTCCAAACAATCCAACTGTAAATACTAGTGTTTATTTTAGTATTTATAGCAAAGTGTTTCAATGTGGCTTACTGTTTGGTTAATCTGCCAGAGTATGATAAATTGAATGAAGACTTTGGAATTAGTAAAATCCAGGTTTGAATCTATGCTTCATTTCCTACTTATATGGTGTTAGAGAAGTTCCTGATCATCTCTGAACTGTAATTTTTTTCGTATATAAAATACTGACAATAAAAAGGACTTCATGCAACACTTCCTTAACTCTAAATATTGTACAGCATTTCTGAAATCCATAGAAGTTTGAAGATCAACTTAAAGTGATTTTATTTTCCATTTCTGAACAAGCAGTTTTATTAAACATGCTTTGATTGTGGACTAATGGGATTTTATATTTTGAAGAAAAGAGGAATTTAATATATTCTTTCCAGAAGAATAACTAAAATGCATTCATTAAGTTCTTTCATGCACTTCTTGGGAAGTGCTGATGCCTTTCTGGAAAGCAGTTTGACAGTAAGCATCAATGGGCATATCTTGGGACTCCTAAATCTTGTATTGATAAATTATTATAAGGATATGAGACATGTGGACAAAATCTGTTATATCTATGAATGTCCATAACACTAAAAATTAGATGCAATTTGAATGTACATCAAGAATGGACTAGTTATATTAACACACATCTATGCAGTTGAATACTAAAAGTTATTATTTGTGCAGTGATATACAAAGGGAAAAAAGTTGGTTTTTGATGAATTTTTACTTTAAAGCCATATGGTCTTTAACGTAAGTTAACAAATCAGTATAAAATTACTTTTATATGGCAATATGATCAGAGGACAAGCTAAATTGTTGATAGTTAAGTACAACATAGAAGTAATAGATAAATCAGTTAGAAAAAATAACTGCTGCATTCCTTTACAGTTTAAAAAAATAAATATATTTACCTGATGATGATGATGAAGTTAATGAAGCTGAAGAAGATGAATCAAGAGATGGTCCAAACAGGGGGTCCCAAGCAAGTAAATCACTGGTCCCTTTCCTATCAGAACATTTTAAAAATAAGCATTTTAGCAAATGAGCATTTTATTAGTATAACATCTAGGAATACATTTCATAGAAAGAACTACAACAGCAATATATATGATCAAAGAACTGGATATTCTGTCAGTTGAATTTATGAAGAACTTAATTAGCAGGTAAATAGGTTTAATAAACTGTATTTATCAACTGCTATAAACAGAACCTACAATAACATTATGTGAAGTTCTTAAGTGAGAATAGCTTAATACCTACTAATTAAATCTTGTTATATTCTAACAATCATAGGTGCTGCCAGAATGGAAATTAATTTCAGTTTTACAAATGAAAAGCAGCATGGGGAGTCTAAAAGAGATGCTTAAACTCACGTAGCTAACTCTATGGCAGTGTCAGATCTGTGAATCCACATCTAGAACCCAGTCTTGGACAGAAATTTCTTAAGTGACATGAAATCAGAGAGAAATTTTATAAGGTCATATTTATTATCGAAGATGAAGAAAGGGGGTAAAGGACTTTTTAAAAAGTACCTTTTATGTACAGGGTGGGGGCCTAAGCCCTATGTATATAAATGACACTACAAACTTCAATGGTCTGACCACTGCAGTAGATCACGCACAGGCAGAATTTCTCCCTACGTAATCCCTGCCTGGGCCACCAGATGTATGGGTCATAGATGCCCTTTTATGAGAGGTTACCAAGACTAACTACAAAATCAAGAGCATGAACATTTTCATTTCAGAAACCTCAACGTGCTGCATAACCAAAGATTTTCCTCCACTAACCTCTTGGAATCCTCCAAACTGGTTACTCTCAGGATTCCAATCTTGGCTCTTCACTTTATTTTTTTTTGGCTCTTCACTTTAATACAAACTTTTATATACATGTTTCTCTTTTTCATTCTAGTCATACCCCTTTTAAGATGCTTAATCTCTATTCTGAACACCTGACCTTTGTACCCCTTCTTTTTTAACTAATTTTCCCAACTTTAGTGAAGTATTCTTAACAAATAAAAATTGTATATATTTATGCATAAAAATAAAATTAATCCTCATTTTAAAATAATTTAATGTATCAAACTACCACTATTTAAAATATTTTTTAGAAATCTGAGAAAACAGGCCCACGATAATAAAATTACAATCACTTGATAAGTAGAGATCCAATATCGCAACATGTACCCACATGGAAACACACTTATGATAAAGTACAGAATCATAACTGCATAAATGATTCCTGAAAACAAAGTCTTAAAACACTAAACAACTTATCTTTAAAAATGAAAAATCAAATGAATGCCACTGGTGTGCTCAGTTAGTGCTTAGCTTTGAAAGTTTCCATTTCAAACTATCCATTTAATTAAGTCTACTTTTACTCATGCAATAAATATTTAAAGTATTCTTACTAATATAGAAGTGAGGGGGAAAACCCATGCAACACTGGCTTAAAATATTTTTTCTTTTTAAGAACAACTGGCAACACGTCCTCTCTCCTTTATCAACTTAACTGAAACACTTCACTTTGAGGCTCATAAAGTATACAGTCTATTTTACAAAGTCACAGACAAAATTGAAGGAAAAGTGAGAGAATTTGCATGAGAATAACTAGCTGAAATATAGACATGTATGCTGCTGTATTTAAACTGAATAACCAGTGTCCCACTGTGCAGCACAGGGAACTTTGCTCAGGGTTATGCAGCAGCCTGGATAGGAGCGGAGTCTGGGGGAGAAAGGATACATGTATATGTGTAGCTGAGTCCCTTGCTGTCCACCTGAAACTGTCACAACACTGTTAATCAGCTATACTCTTGGAGTATAAACTAGAGTTAAAAAAAATAGACATGTATGAATTTGGGATGCTATCATTTACTTAGAAGCAGCAGTGAGGACACCAAAGCCAAATACAGTTGAACGGATGTTTTTTTAATTATCATAGAAATAAATACTGTCAAATGAGAAATAATTTAAAACATCTAAAAACTCTGACATTTCACAGCTTAGGAAATGGGATGACTATAGAACAGTCTTCTAGAATTAAAACTACAGAGAAAGTAAAACTCTCTAGAAAGAACAAAAGGATACTTAAAATTTAAATGTAGTGGGGAGGAAAGGATTAATAGGTAGAAGACATAGGATTTTTAGGGCAGTGAAATTATTCTGTATGATACTATACTGATGGGCACATGTCATTATTCATTTGTCAAAACTCACAGGATATATACACCACCAAGAGTGAATCCTAATGTAAACCATGGACTTTGGGTGGTAACAATTTGTCAACAGAGGTTCATCAACTGTAACTATGCTCCTCTGGTGGTGGATTCTGATAGTGGGGGAGGTTTGGCATATGTGGAGGTAAAGCGTATATGCAAAAACCTCTGTACCTTCCACTCAATTTTGCTGTGAACCTAAAATTTCTCTAAAAAATAAAGTCTATTTACAGAAGATTTTGAACATAAAACTTACTCATTGGATGCAGCAGATGGCTTTGATTTTGTTAACTCTTCACCTAGTTAAAAAGTTAAAATATTATGAAAAAATTAATCCAATAAAATATTTTAATGTAAAGAGAACTACTGCACATAGATCAACTTTTAAATCCTGATATTAATAACACACACACATACACACACACACACACACACAAAGAAAAGGAAAACAAGCCTTTAACAAATTTTCTATCATGCTTAAGAATATTAAAATAAGAGCTGAATTTCTGCTAAACCTTTATCTCTAATATCTTTGATAAGAAATAACTTGAGTCACCTAAACTATCATATTCATTAAATTGCTGTTCATAAAAAAATATGGGATGCAACTCTAAAAATCAGAACAGATGTTTAAAAGCTTATGTACACTCAAGAATTTTAACTGATGAATCATGAAAGCATTTTTCAAGCTCTGACCAAAAGTAGATTCTAACTCTTGAAGAACACTTTATTTTGAAAAATAAAATTTTTCTAACAACCTAGAGCAACAGTCTCTTTATGAGATAGTCTATTTTACTACCTTCTGCATTTGTAACATGAATCATTTCATAAGCACTGGTACATGGGGGTTAGCATCAGTAATGCAAAAATTCTGTTGGTTCATAAGCAATTTTCACTGCACCTTAATGTTTTGCATCACTAAGAATAGCTGATGAATGCAAAATACATCAGCATGGGTAATTACAGCAAACTATGAGGAATAACAGGCTACCCTGGTGACTCAGTGGTAAAGAATCCACTTGTCGATGCAGGAGACACAGGTTTAATCCCTGGGTTGGGAAGATCCCCTGGAGGACATGGCAAACCCCTCTAGTGCTCTTGCCTGGACAAGAATCCCATGGACAAAGGAATCTGGTGGGCCCATGAGGTTACAAAAGAGCTGGATACTACTTAGAGACTAAACAACAATAACGAATGTGGAATAACAATAACATGATGTGGAACAAATTCCACATAATGCCCATTCATATCACATTCTCCCATTTGGCTTTTCTTAGCCATTTATTTTGCCTCAAAGTGTTTACTGTGGTGTTCTTTATCTTTCTGCACTTTGCCCTCATCTTCATAACTCAGTTGCTGAAAATGAGTTTATACTCTCTTCCCTCATATCCCCCATCAACAAGCTACTTACCATTTATTTTTTAAAAGTATTAATGAAATCTTACTTTTAGTTTGGTATTTACTATGAATTTAATAGGTCTTTTCAACTGTGCTAGAATTTTTAATTATGACTGATGTCATTGGTTTTTATTAGGCACTGTTCACAGAACTGCATAACCTTGGTGTGGGCTGCTCAACTCTGTTCTTCCCACACTGTGTTACGTTTGGGCTTCCCTGATAGCTCAGCTGGTAAAGAATCTGCCTGCAATGCAGGGGACCCTGGTTCGATTCCTGTCATGTTTAACACATGATTCTGCAAATGATGTTACCATCCCCTAATCATTTTTAGTATAATTTAAGTTACTATACTAAAAACTTTATAATAAAACTACAAATGTGATATGACTTAAAGATCAAGCTAAAACTCACAAGCGCCTTCTGCTTCATGAAGAGTTATGATAGTTTAACTGTTTTATAAGCTTAATCAGAAGCTGCTCTTTGGTTATGAAAAATGTGGTAGCCACATATTAAAGCATAAAGCACATCTTAAAACTGAAAAGAAATAATACACATACATTGTCTTCTGTTGCAAAATAAGTATACTTCTGGTCTGTTGTTATGGTTCATGATGAGCACAGACCATTTCTACAACTACATATGTTAGGCTACAAGCTTAGCAAATTCTCTGATGAATTTTAATAGACTTAAAATAACCAATTTAAATGTCAAACTTACTAGATGAATTCCGATTCATCTGCACCTAAAATAGAAATGCAAAAACTAAGTGCCATCAAACAATTTAATGTGGTAATAAAATTACTTGATAAAATGTTAACACTGGGAACATAATTTCAAGTTTTCTGTATATCTGCTCAACTACAAACTGTATTTAGCTAAAAAGATTACAGAAAAAACCTTTTGTTTTATAGTCAAAATATAACATGTGTACCTTTAAATAATTCAATAAAATGAAATGTTTTAAAATACTAGTACCTACAGCAAGATACTATGACTTGCTAATAAAAAAGAAAATATTTTGAAAATCAATGTTTAAATATACAATGATTTTTTTTCATTTATTTTTATTAGTAGGAGGCTAATTACGTCACAACATTGCCGTGGGTTTTGTCATACAGTGACATGAATCAGCCATGGAGTTACATGTATTCCTCATCCCGATCCCCCCTCCCACCTCCCTCTCCACCCGATTTACAATGATTTTTTAAGTCAATAAATAAAAATATAAAACTTTGCACTTACTGGGCTGTGTCTCTAGTAGTACATGGAAAGAAAAAGAAAAACAGGTTAAAAAAAAGAAAAAGAAAACCACAGTATTCATTTCAGAATTTGAAATATATTTCTTTGCTCTAACAATTTGTCTATTCCCTTCTTAATCATATCTAAAATCTATATATACCTTAAAAGACATACACTGCTGGAGGAAAAAACAACTTAAGCTAGATAAGCAAACTAGGCAACAAAATATACTCTCAAGATCCTCTTTTCAAACCTGATATTAACAATTAACTTTTCTGATTATTACTTATTTACTGAGTATGAAATCAAAACATTTCTTTAAAAAAAAAGAGCACAAAACATCAATTTTCTCCCTACCCAAAGATAAGATGATTAATATTTTATTTCCTCTAGGCTTTTTATTTATTTACATATGTATTTTAAATTAGTTATACTCTTACACAATAAAACTTTTTAATGACTTTACAACTTCCGACTTCATATATATAAGCACCATGATTTAACCTTGGCATTAATAACAATGGTAGAATAAAACCTCACTTCAGAAATATCTTTTTGGTGGAAAAAACGGTTCTCAAACTCTAAAAGTGTAAAGGAAATCAGTCCTGAATATTCACTGGAAGAACTGATTGCTGAAGCTGAAACTCCAAAATTTTGACCACCTGATGTGAAGAACTGACTCACTCGAAAAGATCCTGATGCTGGGAATGATTGAAGGTGGGAGGAGAAAGGGACGACAAAGGATGAAATGGTTGGATGGCCTCACTGACTCAATGGACATGAGTTAGAGCAAGCTCCAGGAGTTGGTGATGAACAGGGAAGCCTGGCATGGGGACTGTATGGCCCCATGCATGGCATGGACTGCAGTCCATGGGGTCGCAAAGAGTCGGACATGACTAAATAACTAAACTGAACTGAACTGATGACATTGGGAGAAAAACACTTTTTCCAACAAATACATATAAACTACTTAAAATCTGCAATTAAATAATAATACAAAATGGTGAGAATTTTTATTCTCCATTATCAAGAACAATAGGTTTAATATCAACTATAATAAGTATGTACAGATAAACTAACTTGACATTCTAAGACATGCTTTTATTCCCCACAGTTTAACATTTCTGAATTTAAAAGTATGACATCATTAGAAAGATCTATTATGTTGATTGCTTTTCTGCCTCAAAAGCTATAAGTTTAGTATCTCAGAATTGAGGAATTAATCACTGTCAACTAAGAGTTCTTATCTTTGCCCTTTCCAGTATGAAAATTATGGAAAACAACCATTAATTACAGTGACAGGGAAAAAAAAGAAGATACAATTTAATCATGACATTCATTCTAACGGAATTCCCTTTTACAATAAAGATTACAAAAAAAAAAAGAAACCACCAAAAAAATGGATGAGAGACTTTAACATGAGATGAGGAAAAGGTTAACACTGTAGTTTACAAAATTCTGCCAGAGACATATAGTAGTATTTATAAAATACATCAATGGCAAAAATAGTGGATTTTCCATGTTTTCACTTAAAACACATTCAAAAGGAAGCAAAACTAAGCCAAACTCACAAACTCATTTGCCTGTATAAAGATTATAAACTGTATACTCAATAAAGCTGAAAAAAACCATAAATTATTTCTTTATCCAACATGCTTAAATTAACTATTACTAAGTGATTTTGAGGGTAAAGCAGCTGCCTGCAATGCGGGAGACCCAGGTTCGATCCCTGGGTTGGGAAGATCCCTTAGAGAAGGAAATGGCAACCCACTCTGGTACTCTTGCTTGGAAAATCCCATGGAAGGAGAAGCCTGGTAGGCTACAGTCCATGGGGTCTCAAAGAGTCAGACACGACTGAGCAACTTCACTTTCTTTCATTAAGTGATTTTTAATTTTTGTTAGTCCTAAAACTATCCAGATGCGAGTAGATAAGCTACTAAACAAAAACCAAAGGCTTCTATATAGTGAGTGGAAACTTGTTTATTTTCTTACTTACAGATACTGCTGGGGAGAGTGTTATATTTCCTATAGATACTTTTAATTCATCCAAGGAAGCCATTGTGTGATGTGAGTTATTTGGATGCACAGGTTTGATTTCTATCCGATACTTCTTTGGTTCTTCATCTTCAGAATCAGAATCACTAGATGAGTAGAAATGGTTCTCTTTGGTATGTGAGTATTGGTTAAAGAATCGACTTTTTAGATTATCTTAGTGCACAACCAGTTTTTCACACATTGATAAAAAGGAACAAAAAAACTTTAAAAGGTAAGATGGATTTTACCAGAAATGTAACTACTGACTTATTCATAACATATCAAATAAATAACAGAGGCACATTTTATTACAATTAATTAAAAATTAAGGTCTTTATTAAACATTGGGTTATTTTGTTATAACTATCTACTTATATATGCCAACACAATCCACAAGAATACCCAGATACTAAAAGGATATCATTCTGATTTGTTTCTGGTTTTATACTATAGCCTTCTTCATCCACATCAGGAATGTTCTATGGGGAAAAGAAAAAAAACTTTAACAATGGTTCCAACAGCAAAAACATTAAGGGTTAACAAAACAGCCTTAATTTAACTATTACTGGGAGATTTTACTATAATTTATCAAATATCAATAGATTAAAAAATTATTAACACTATGGGAAATTATGTCTTTTTAGTTAGCTTCAAATGATACTCCATACTTAAGATGTCTAAAAGAGAAAAGCACTGCAAAACAAACAGGATAAACACTGAAAGGAAGAGAAGAGGTGTTCCACTAGGCATGCCAGCAGTTCTGTGAACAACCAAATTTTCACCTAAGTCCTCAAAATGAAGAAATAAAAGTACGGGGTTGTGTGTATCATGGAAGAGAGGAGGTAAAATCAGAGGACTGACAGCTTAAGTACATGGAAATACATACCAAAATTATAAAACAAATAAAAGAAAATTTAAACTATACTAAAACACCATCTTTTACCCATGAGACTGGATAAAAAATCAAGTTTGAAAATATACTCTGTTGGCAAAGCTGTGAAGAAATGTACTCTTACACTGTGCTGGTATAAATACAAAAGAGTACAATTCATACAGAGAGAGAAATAGCAGTATCTAACAAAAATATTTACATGCTTATTATTCTACTCAAGAGTTCCTTTTCTAGGAATTTATTCTGAAGATATGCCCCCCAAGAATTTAAAAATACATATGCAATAAGATTATCTGTAACTCAAAATTCTGGAAAGAACATGTCCAAGTATAGGTGAATAAACTATAGGTGTATACACAAAATGAAGTACTATGCAGGTATTTAAAAACAAAAAAGATGAGAAAAGTTTTTATGAACTGATATGTAGAGACCTCCAGGAAATACTGCTAACTGAAAAAACCAAGTACAAGAGAACATATACAGTATGCTACCTTTTAAGTAAGAAAGATGGGGAAATTAAAAAGTTAACATATAGATATGTTTATCTTTATTAAAAAAATACTGAAAAGATTAATAAAATAAAGTTGGTTCCTAAGGACCAAGGGCAATGAAGCAGAAGGGATACAGAAGGGTCACGTCTCTAAAAACGCTTTTGTAGTTAGGCAAAAGAATATAAAATGTATGCTCAAATAGATCTGAAAAAATATTATAAACACATGCACATATGCAAATGTAGTAAAAAGTTAAAGGTATACAGGTGTTCTTTGTACTAATTTATTCTTGTATTTTTTTTTTTTTGAGGTTAGACTGTATTTCCAAATAAAAAGTTTTTTAAAATGGGGAGGGAAAAAAGACTGCCAAGAAAAACCAGGGTTTGCCAGTTGTATGTAACTGGACAGCCAATGGACTTCCCAGGTGGTGTAGTGATAAAGAATCTGCCTGCTAATGCAGGAGACACAAGTTCAATCCCTGGGTTGGGAAGATCCCCTGGAGTAGGAAATGGCAACCCACATGAGTATTCTTGCTTGGAAAATTCCATGGACAGAGGAGCCTGGTGGGCTACAGTCCATGGGGTTGCATAGTCAGATACGACTGAGTATGCATGCAGAGGACAGCCAATATCATTTCTACTGGTAAAGTTTCCCATCTTCCTCCAGCCACTTGTTGGAGCTCAGCAAGAGAAACATGAAGAACTGCTAATCCAAGAGGCACAGCGCAAGGTTTGCACAGTTTCAGCTTCCAAGCTATAACTGTATAAACCTTGTGCTATGCCTGTGAGACTCTAACGCAGCAGCAGTGAGTTAACAGACTGGATTAAAGTTTAGAAGTGAAATGTCTAATATAAGGTAAAGAGCAGATTCCACAGACAAAAAGATGACAAGTGATGTAGTTATGACCCCAAAAGTAGAGCACTTTCTTTGAGTTCTATATGTTGCTTGCTAATGTGCAAATAATACTTAAAAGTGCAAATAATATGCAAATAATACTTTAAATACTTTAAAGAAAGCTTGCCAAATATGAATTCATTAAAAATCAGAATAAAAAAAGTTTTTTTTTTAAATAGTTTATTTGTATTCTTGATACCCTAGAAATATAGCAGATATTTAATCTCCTAGAGGTTCTATGTGGGACTGCTACTGACACTGTTTTAAAATTTGTTTATAATACACTATAATATACAATGTACTAATTTAAAATAATACAGAGCTATTTTCTATAAGACCAAATAAACTGCTCTGAATCAACCTCCTGCAGATTACATCAATAAACTCTGGTCAGAATAGCACTGAAACAAGTATACTATCAAGGGTGAAACAGATCACCAGCCCAGGTTGGATGCATGAGACAAGTGCTCAGGGCTGGGGCACTGGAAGACCCAGAAGGATGGGATGGGGAGGGAGGCGGGAGGGGGGATCGGGATGGGGAACACATGTAAATCCATGGCTGATTCATGTCAATGTATGGCAAAAACCACTACAATATTGTAAAGTAATTAGCCTCCAACTAATAAAAATAAATGGGGGGGGGGAACCTCTGGTCAAAATAAACAAAAACAACCATCTGAAGGCACTGGAAAGTGGCCCACAGTAACCACCTAAAATGATACACAAAGTGATATGCTTCAAAAAAAATACCAAACTATAAATCCAAGTGAAATTCTAAAACAAAAAGGTTCAAATAACCCATAGAAAAGTAGGAAAAAGAAAACAAAATTCAAAAACAGATAAGAACACAAAAAATTAAATGGCAGACAAACCCCAACATGTCAACAATTACATTAAATATTAATATACTATACACATATATATCAAAAGACAGATCGACAGAATGAATGGAAAAAACATGACCCATATGCTGCCCATAAGAAACTCACTTCAAATAAACAAAAATAGGTAGGTTGAAAGGAAAATGAAAAAATATATATACCAGGAAATATTAATTAAAAAAATAAAAATGACAGTGACTATTTCACTATTAGATACTAATAAAATAGACTTCAGAAAGAAAAGTACCAGTGTCAAGAGAGAATATTATGTACACAAAGACCTGTACACAATTGTTCAAAGTAGCATTTCTAATAGTCAAAAATTGGAAACTAAATATCCCACAATAAATGAACAGACTTTGGTACACCTACATTGTGGAACACTATTCAACAATAAAAAGGAATGAACTATTTATACAAGCAACAGTCTGGAATAATCTCCAGAAAAGGGTGCTAAGTGAAAAAGAGTCAATCTAAAAAGGTTACATACAATTCAATTCCACTTAAATAACATTACGGAAATGATAAGTTTATAGAAATGGAGAAAAGATTATAGTTGCCAGAGGTGGTTGGGGGGGAGGGTAGTATCAGAACAAAAGTGACAGAAAAAGGGCAATTAAAATGAAAGATCCTCCCAGAAATCCAGCAGTCACACTCCTAAGTATTTACCCACTTGATATTAAAACTATTTTCCCACAAAAACTTGCACACAAATGTTATTAAGCTGCTTTATTCATAATCACCTAAAAGAAGCAGCAAGCAAAATATCCTTCAATAGGTAAATAAGTAAACTGTGGTACATCCATACAATGACACACTCTTCAGTGACAAAAAAAGGAATGAACTATTGAGTCATGGCAACAATATGAATAAATCTTAAGTGCATATTTAATATTCCTGGGGCAAAGAATCCAGTCTGAAAAAGTTATATAAGATACCATTTATATGACATTCTGGAAAAGGTAAAAATATAAGAGGTGATAAACAGATCAGTAAATTCCAGGGATCTGAGCACTGGGACAGGGTTAAATAGGTGAGGGGAAAAAAAAAGATCTTTGTTTAATGGTAATGTTCTGTTTTGACTGTATTAGAATCACTATTCTAGTTATATATGTTACTGTACTAATAAGTTTTGCAAGACGTTACCATGAGGAGAAGCAAGATGAAAGGTACATGAGACTGCTCTATATTATCTTTGTAATGATCTGTAAATTGAAAATTATTCAAAAATAAAATGCTTTCTTGGTACGTGTTTAAAAAAATATAGCAGTAATTTTTACTGTACCGGGTTTTCAATGCTAGAACTATTCATGATACTAATGAAAACTTACACATTACCTATTTACACCTTTGTCCACTCAATCCATGGTTTCTGTATTAGGGCCCCATACTGCTAGAGCAAAGTACTAAGTCAAAAGCAGTACAAGAAAAAGAAATGAGCAGGTGACTTTAGTCAACAACCTTAAAGACAGTTTTGGTGGATAGTGGTGGTAGTAATTTTTTTTAAATATCGGGATAAGAGCTCACAAGTCAATGGTATATTTCTCAATCTCTCTGGAGAAGGGAAATTGGCTAAAACTAAAAGAAGAGAGCAATTTACACTTCATTCATCAACTTTCAAAAGATCTACATCTCAAAATAATTTTTAAAAATTACATACATAGACCTTTTAAAAAAGGAACAGAAAATCATGGGTATTTCCCTACCAAAGTAGCTTACTGACATTTAAGATATAGTAAGACTAGCCATAAACAAAAAGGTGACAAATAGGCCATAATTGCCTCTTGAGATATCTGTGAGTGAGGAAGCAACAGTTAGAACTGGACATGGAAAACAGACTGCTTCCAAATAGGAAAGGGAGTGCGTCAAGTCTGTATACTGTCAACCTGCTTATTTAACTTATATGCATTGTACATCATGAGAAACACTGAGCTGGATGAAGCACAAGCTGGAATCAAGATTGCCGGGAGAAATATCAATAACCTCAGATACGCAGATGACACCACCCTTATGGCACAAAGTGAAGAAGAACTAAAGAGCCTCTGATGAAAGTGAAAGAGGAGAGTGAAAAGGTTGGCTTAAAGCTCAACATTGAGAAAACTAAGGGCATGGCATCCGGTCCCATCACTTCATGGCAAACGGAGAAACAGTGGAAACAGTGCAGACTTTATTTTTGGGGGCTCCAAAATCACTGCAGATGGTGACTGCAGCCATGAAATTAAAAAACGCTTACTCCTTGGAAGAAAAGCTATGACCAACCTAGACATCATACTAAAGAGCAGAGACATTAACTACACAACAAAGATCCGTCTAGTCAAGGCTATGGTTTTTCCAGTGGTCATGTATGGATGTGAGAGTTGGACTATAAAGAAAGCTGAGTGCTGAAGAACTGATGCTTTAGAACTGTGGTGTTGGAGAAGACTCTTGAAGAGTTCTTTGGACTGAAAGGAGATCCAACCAGTCCACCCTAAAGGAAATCAGTCCTGAATATTCACTGGAAGGACTGATGCTGAAGCTGAAACTCCAATCCTTTGGCCACCTGCTGCAAAGAGCTGACTCATTGGAAAAGATCCTGATGCTGGGAAAGATTGAAGGTAGGAGGAGAAGGGGACGACAGAGGATGAGATGGTTGGATGGCATCACCGACTCAATGGACATGAGTTTGGGTAAACTCTGGTAGTTGGTGATGAACAGGGAGGCCTGGTGTGCTGCAGTCCATGGGGTCACAAAGAATCGGACACGACCGAGCAACTGAACTGAACTGAACTGAGGCCATAAATAAATCATGGTGGTTTAGTCACTAAGTCATATTCAATTCTTGCAACCTCATGGACTGTAGCCCGCCAGGCTCCTCTGTCCATGGAATTTTCCAGGCAAGACTACTGGAGTGGGTTGTCATTTCCTTATCCAGGGGATCTTCCTGAGCCATGGATTAAACCCAGGTCTCCTGCACTACAGGCAGATTCTTTACCAACTGAGCCACCAAGGATGCCCTAAATAAATCATAGGCCATAAATAAAAGGAAACAACAAAAAATGAAAGCCTCCTTTCTCTGCTGATCACCACTGTAATCCTTCTCTTCAAAGGTAACCACAATTCAACGTCTTCTAACTCATTCTTTTTAAAAAAGAGAATACATATCATATACACATGTATATATTTTAAAAAGCAATTATTTTAAAAACCACATAGTTCTTCCCATATCAACAGACACAGAGCCACCTATCTCTGTAACATGACTATTTCTTCAAGTGAATGTTTAATAATTTATTTAACCAATCCCCATTTGAATTGATGCTTTCTTTAGTGCTTCCAATTTTTTGCTAATATCAACAGTGTAGAAATAAACATGTCTCTACCTTTTCTCCCTATCTATATAAGCATATATCTTGATGAAGAATATATATATGTGTGTGTGTGTGCATGTGTATATATATATATATATATATATCAATACACACATGCACATACACACAATGCCTGTGAATATAGCAGTAACAGTAAAGCCCTAGCAGGACTGCAAAGTCAAAAAGAATATACATTTCTTATTTGGAAAGATACTGCCAAACTATGCACAAGACAGATTATACCAGTTTATAGTCCTAACAACAGTACAAGTGTATCAAAACTTTTGCCAGTGTGATTGGTGAATATAGAAATTTCATTTTAATTTGAATCAGAAGAAGACTACTATTTTGAATAACACTACTTTTATCCACCACAATCTTTTATTTATTCTTATGAAAACTGCCTGTTTTTTATCCTAATGCCCTTTTCCTACTGGGATACTTGCTTATCTTTTATTAAACTTACTTGTATAAAAATTTTGCAAAGGAAAGTAATTAGCCCCTTGTTAAACATCTTGCAAATATACTCTGTCCAGTTCTATCTTTAGTGATTCAAATCCTTCTATGCTGTATTTTTTCTAATTTTATGATTTTCATTTCTATATCATCAAATGTATCGATCATTTCTTTCATGGCAGTAGAATTTCATGTCCTCTTTAAAAGCCCCTTTCTCATTCCAGATAAGTACAGGCTAAAGTTCAAAAATGTTAAATATTGATCATTACAAAAAAAGTATCAATGAACTAAGAAAATTTTAAATATTTTATTTATAGGAGTGTGAAAATAAAATAAAACAAAGTATTAAAATTCTTATTCAATGTTGCAGTCATCAAATAAATGCTATAAATCATTCAGAAATAAAACGCATGATGAGCACTAAAGGAAATGCCAAACACATGTTAACTTTTTCATTAATTAGTAACTAAGGGTATCAAAACAGGCAAGTGGAAAGTAAATGTTACAACTCCACCCACACACCGATAATTTTAGGCCTAGAGCTCATCAGAAGTCAATTTATTTTCACTGTAAATTTATTAACAAACAATAGTTTTCTTATCTTAAAGCTGAAACATGCAACAAAAATACTAGTTTTATCTTAATTACAATAAATCACAATGTTTTACAAAATATGTAGTTCTTTATGTTGGTAGCCAATATGCTGCAAAAGACAATAATGTTTTAGAGTCAAAAGAAACAAGTTCTGCAAGCAAGAACAATAAAGGAGACAGTCTAACTCTACCACACTTAGCAACATGACCAGTGCCTAACGACCAATCCTAAGGACAGGTCTGACCATATCTGTCTACCCATTTCTTAACATCATTTGGTAAATCTATTCTCTCATTGTAACCACAGGGAGCTCCATTTGATGTCTTCTTTAATTATACATGAAGAAATATATTTAAATAAGAAATACATACAAATTTTCTTTAAAACACAAAATAAAGAGCACAGAAAAGTACTAACCATGGTTGTTGCTACTTTTTCTAAAAGGACAGTCTTCTAAACAAACCTCAAATACATGGACAGATATAGCAGTATTTTAATAGTAAGAATCAATTAGTAACAGCACATTTTAAAATAAAACAGTCAGATTTGATATCTGACATATTTCCCAAGAAAAAGCAATATACTATGGCTCTACTCCAATTTTAAAAGTAAATGTCCACTTTTCAAAAGCAGTTAGAAATATCTTCTATTTATTAAAGGAAAGCACCTGGCAATGTAAAACCAAAAATACATCTGTAAAATAATTTCAATAGTGAATCTCTAATAATATGGTTAGTATTTTTCTTGGAAAGATCTGCAAACTCAACCCAAATATGCTCAGTATTCCTAATGAAAATAGCTAAATTGTTTGTACCAAAGTAAAATCTACTTACAAGTGAATCTGCATCAGGGCATTCCCTATTAAAACAAACAAAACATTATAAATATGCAACTATTAGAACTATCTGGTAAATATACTATATCGAAAGTGTTTGCTTTGGTATTTAAACACAACTTTCATTTAAACCCCATAAAAGTATTTAGAGAAATCAAATCATGAATATTAAAATATACCAAATGATTTTAAAATTCAGACATTCCCCTTTACTTATACAACACAAAATAAAACAAACAGCTTACAAATATTTTTAAAACTTTCAAAATTACTTCTTTTCCATGAATTGGCACATGAATCATATCAAGGAAGCTGTCAAGGATTTCTAGTGGCTTTTCATCCTTCAGGTAGAAAAAGATAGAAAAAACAAAAGCAAACAAACAAAAAACTCCCTTAAAGAAGAAAGCCTGGCTTTTAAAAAGCCTGTATTTATATTTACTGGTAAATAATAGTAACATTTTTAAATAAAAAGTTTTTTAAACTTATTCCCTTTGAGTATTTCCATAAGGCAGGGTATACAGAAGTGAAACCACTTTTCTCCAAATATGTTAAATGAGCAGCTAGACTTCCAGTTGGAATAGTTTCTAGTCTAATGTAATATGCAATTGAGCACAGATATTTTATCATTTAACTGATAAGCAAATATAAATTTGTATATAATCTAGTGAAAACTATTATTTTAAATCTAAAACATAAAACATCAATCTTCTCAACTAAACAAAGCCCTAAATATATAAAATTAAAGGCACTGAAGCCATTAGAATGAGGTTAGAACAATTTATACATATACATTCTAAAACAAATTCACAAACAGAAATTAGTGTCTATTTAAAAGGTAGTGGATTAGGTATAGTTGGCTTGATAGAGTTAATGGAATATTGTATCAGATTCTGCTACTTTAATAACAGTCTGAAAACGCAGATATCAGGTACACCTTAAGAGCTAAACGAACAAAATTTAAAAAAAAAATTAAAATATAAGATAAACAGGTAATCTGTACCAATTCAAAGACCAAGCACAAACCAGAAAAACCCATAAAGAACTTTCTTAAATAAAGATAAGATAGAGTAGACTAAAAGAATGATAAAAAGAGGGAGATGACTATCCTGCTCTTAATCAAAAGGGAGCACCGAGGGTAAATGCAAATCCCACATGCCTTTATATTTACTTAAAATCGCAAATCCTGAAAAAGGGCTTCCTTATTATTGGTAGATTATAAGGAATATTGTTATTAAAAAAACCTATGTATACTCTGAGGAAATGACCAGAAAAGCTACTATAACGATCAATTCAATCCCTGTACAGAATCAAATCACTTAAGATGTTAAAACATTTCTACTTCTTTTCCTAAAAGATAAAGTTGAAATATAAATTTAAGTGTAAAAGTTCCAAACCATTTATTCTCTGGCTTTAAGCCAGAATTCTCTAGTCTTTGTGGTAAAGCACTTATCTGTTTGGCTTCACAGCATGCAGTAGGAGACCTGAAGATGAAGCCCCAGGAAGACCAAGCTCTGAGCAGGACCCCTCGCACACAATTGCTGGCATTTCAAAAGCCTTCAGGCTATGAGAAGAAGCATGCCAAGAGCCTCGGGCATTTCAAGCAAAGTGAACTCTAACATTTTTCCTGCCAAGCAGTGTTGAAGATGGCGATAGTGATGCAATGATCTAAGCATTAGTTTTCTGACTTAGTATTCTTATTGGCTAAAATATTCCAATATCCAAGTGGCCTAATGATCATATTGGGAAATTATTAATCGTGAAAAACTATTTTAAAAACATGAAATACACAAGAATATTAGAAGCTCCCTAAATGAACAGCTGTGAAAGCCATCAATTATAAAAAATATATCAACTCATTATAATACAGTCACTAACAGATAAACTGGCTACATTTTAAAAATTTATTTACAAATCAACTGTTAAGACTTCAATTCCAATGTTATAAAAGAAATTATGTTCCATCCCTTAGCAAAATACCCCCTTCCCAAAGTTCAAAAGACATCTGCAGATGAGACAGTAGCTACAAGGCATAAGTCACTTTTTAAACAAATTTTCATTCAGTGTTACTGGGTCAACAAATCACTTGAGATTTTTGATTAGTGTCTCTACAGTCTAAATCAGTTGAATAATCAAGCAAAGAAAACTTCCTTTAATTCCAATTTGTCTCTGGTTAATCATAGTTTAATGACTCTCAAACCCCAGTGTATATTAAGACAACACAAAAACTTCTGGGGCCTCACACCCGAAGAATCTCATTTAATTGGTCTGAAGTAGAGGCTGGCATAGATACATTTAATTTCTCAGGTAGTTCTAATGTGTAGCCAAGGTACAAAATTTGACTTAGTTAATACTAATTTCTCATATGATAACTGTATTTCTCTGTATACCAATTTATTTTTTTTTAAAGGTAAAAGAAGTTTATACTCCATCTTCCATCTAAAACTGATGAATTAGTATAAATGTTTAAAATGTGTTATGGCTTTTTTCTCCTTCATTTAACATTTTCCATTTATGTATACATATATCATTAAGTTCCTATATGCCTAGAGTTGTCTTGAAAGATTTTCATCAAATTGTTGACCATGGTGCTGCTTTTAGGTTATTAAGACTTAGAACAATTTTTAGTTTTCTCTGTACTTTTCATTTTTTTAATATACATGTTATCATTTTATAAAATAAAGGCATCTTTGAAGTTTCAATTTGAAAATACTAAAGCTTTCATCTTGAAATTTTAAAATAATACAAAAGGTTAACATTTTTCATGAAAACTAGAGGGCTTGGCAAATGTTCTTAGAAAAGCCTGTATTTTTCACACCTTAGCCGTATTTACTTTAGAGTTATTTCCAAAATAATTTTTTCTTTTCAAATTCATAACAATGTATGTCAAAAACCACCACAATATTGTAATTAGCGTCCAATTAAAATAAGAAAAAACAATAGTTTTGTTATAAAACTATTCATAAAATATTATTTCTAAAAATGGAAAGAATTTTGACAATACTTAATATACTTACACAGACTCTGCATCCTTTTCCTTTTTAATTATTCCTGGTAAACCAAAAGTCTTTCTTTTCCTCGGTTTTATACCTTAAAATAAACATATATTATTATAGAAACATGACTATTTCTGATAAACATATTAATGAATGCATCTTGTATCCTGACACATGATTTGCTCATAAATGTTGATACTAAATTTGGATGAAAGAAATACAAGCATCAATTACTAAGCCCTAAAATTTAAATCAGGGTCATAATCTGTTTATATTTTTCTTATGTTAATATAATATAGCCTGTCATTCACCAAAAGGTTATACATAGAACAACTGATTGATGACATTCTCTCTTCCTCTAATTACCTCAGGTAAAGTAAGCATTTGCAGATATCTTAAGACTTCAAAGAAAGTACATCATTCATTATAAGAAATTTGGTTATAAATGCAGGTCAGATCATGTTCTCTGTGTAAAAGGTCACAAAATATAAATGTGTTGTTTTAAATAAATAGATGACAACAGGTCCATTAAGAGTGTGACAGATATTTATAAAATGGCATTCCTTTGTACATGTGTTATCACTAATAAAAACAATGTTATAAATGGACCCAATCATAAATGAGGAAAAATATCATTTCTGTTTTGCCAAATAAGGCAGTTCTTCCTCTTCTTGCATGACAAATTGTTTTTAAAAAAGGTCAGTATCAACTGTTATCAATTGTTAATAGAATTCAGCACTTAGAGCTTAGCTGTTGTTCAGTTGCTAAGTCGTGTCTGACTCTTTGCGACCCCATGGACTGCAGCACAACAGCTTCCCTGTTCTTCACTATCTCCTGGAGTTGCTCAAATTCATGTCCATTGAGTCAGTGATGCTATCTAACCATCTCATCCTCTGCTTCGCTCTTCTCCTTTCACCTTCAATCTTTCTCAGCATCAGGGCCTTTCCCAAAGAGTTAACTCTTTGGATCAGGTGGCCAAAGTATTGAGCTTCAATTTCAGCATCAATCCTTCCAATGAATATTCACGGTTGCTTTCCTTTAGGACTGACTGGTTTGAGTACACCCAAGCTAACTTCACACCTTGTAGATGAGGAAACTCAAAAGTATTATTTGTTTTTCTAACTCAGTGTTCTACAGCTGGTTATCACTACAATCAGGATAATAATCCAAATGTATTAGAATAATGTACTTGCTTTCATGTAAGACTAATTCCCTGAACCATATATTTGTATAGCATATTATAGTATTTTTACATTTTTTTTCTCAGAGTAGGTATTATTTATTATAAACATTTTAAAAGAACTCTTTAAATTCTTTTCAGCTTTTGAGGAATCTTTAAAGATTACAGAGAACTTAAATAATTACTGCTCTTAATCAAACACCTAGTAACTATAAAAAGTCTAGGCCCTAGAGTTCCTTGACTGCTGAAGTAATAACCTTACACACAATAGCAGACCATTTCTCTAAACTCTTACACAGGTCTTGGAAAAAAATCAAAGACTGCTTTCAAATTATTTCCAGCAGCTCACAAAGTGAGATATATAAAACATAACACACACACACACACACACACACACACAAAACCCACGACAAAAACTGCAGATATCTCTTGGGTTTCATACTATAAAAAACATAAATTTAAATAGCAAGGGTTATGGACCCTTTCTCCAATTCAAATCATCACCTATTTTGAATGACAGTCACATTAGCATTAATGCATAACCTTACTAATTACTGAAATGCTACCCATTGTAAAATAAGCAGTATACATCAGTATGTAGTGATGAGTTTCGTATTTGTAACATTAGAATGTTTAAAGAAGGATATCAATGGAGAAAACATCCTCAATGTATATCTAAAAACAAATACATGTTATATTTAATCTTTTAAAATATATATATTCTAACACATTAGTATCCCTTTGGGCAAACTTATTATTTATAAAGCAAACACTAATATAGCAAGCCTTTAAACCACATTCAGAGTTTTTACATCACTCCATACACATGCTAACACCAATGGGTAGCAACCTCTCTATTCAGTAAACAGAAGCTATCAGCTAGTTGCCACACATTACAACTAGTCAACTTACCTTCAACTGCACTAGCAGGGTCACATTCTTCAAATTCAATAAGGCCTAAAAAGAAAAATGTTATTACATGAACAAGTACTGGTTAAAAAAATACAAGTGACAGAAAACAATCAGATGGGATCCCATTACATCTTTTTAATGATTCTGAAATGTTTCAGGGTTATGTGATGTTAGTTAAAATAACAGCAATAATTTAAAAATCAAATAGCAAGCATGTTCAGTGTTACTGAAAAAAAAAAACTGAGATTGGCCCATTATTATGACCACAATTTACTGCAAACCCTTTATCTATGATGCCACACAACTTGGAGCACAGAGATCTAACATGTAGTTAGGAGCCTGTTGTAAGTATAGTTGAGAGAAAACAATAGTAAGAGGCTGTTGCTGAATTCTTGGTTGCTCTCATTTTAAGACCAAGGGGCTGAGACAGCAAACACTCCTAGAATGGAGGCCCGGGACCTTGCTTGTTCGGTTAACCACTGTGCCCTAGCAAATAATGTCTTCCATGAATATCTGCTAAATAAGCAAGTGAATTAATTACATACTAGCTAAGAGGTGATGCTAAAGTCAAAACCCAGATCCATCCGTATAGCAGGTCAAGGAATTTAAACTCGAGTTTGCAGGCAACGGGAAGAGCTTTCATGTGAGAAAGTGATACACATACGAAGTTCCTGAAAGTGGTCTTATACAAAAATTAATTCAGCACTGGTACAAGAGATAGACTGCAGAGAAGGGACAAAAATAAAATGGAAACCAGCTGAAAAACAACTAAAATAGCCCTAAAATGACAGGTCTGCTGAGACTAACCTTAAATGCTATAAAATGTGGTATCTTTCATATACGTAAAATACCAAATTATTTAGACAGTAAATAAAGTAGTGAAAAGCAGGAATTATTTTTCTACTGAAATATACATAAAACGAATTATCAAACTAAAATTTTACGTTCCACTAAATTGTCAGTTTAGCTCTGTTCTGTAATATATAAATTTATGCAAGTCCAGTTTTTTTGTGAAACCATTTTTAATTTATTAATGGTAATTGGTACAATCTGCTACATCAAGAGATTTTTAAATAGAGCTTGAAGTAAAGAGTACATAATAGATTTCACTACTGATCCTTCTGATATGTTAAGCTTAACTGTAACTATGTCCAAATTCATGATCAGAGTTCTTATAAGTCATTCCATTATGAAAGAAAACCACTAACGAACAAGGAAAATTTCTCTACAAGTAGAAGCATCTAAAAATATTGGCTAAAATGTCCTTCTTTTTACCTCTAAGTCAAAGATTTACTTCCTCAGTTCCAGTTTCGATTCAAATAGAGTAGATTAACATTTAGTAATAAGCAGAATAAAAGTCATAAATGTGACAATAAACAAGGTCTTAATTAATTAATTAGCAATACCTTCCCTACTGGGGCATTCTAATGTAAACAGCATTCAGCTAAAATGAAAAAAAATACATTCACTACTTCCATCCAAAAAATTCTTAAGAGTCAAAAAATGGCCCAATTAAAATTTCAAGGACTTCAGATCCACTCTGTAAATCTGGAAGCTTAAAAATTCATTAAATGAAAGGGTAATGAGCTTGGTCTTAGAATCCTTTAAAGGCCTACACTAATAGTTTACAAAGAGATGAGAACTGAAAGATTAATAAAGATCAGGAATTTCAGTAGGATGTGCATCTGATAAACAGCCATCTTTTGCTGTTTAAGAATTATGAAGAATGAAAAATCTCTGCCTAAATCACCAGCAGCTTATTATGTGTTATTAATTTTATCACTTCCTAATAAAGCTTGAGAGACTATAACCACCTGTCCAAAAAAAAAAGACAACCAGAAACAGTTAATCCAAAATTTTCCTATTACAAGCACATCATTTGTGCCCAGTAATTATTTACAGAATCTCTAATACTCAAGCTATGGGCGTTTTCTAGGGAACAAAACAAGAGAGCAATACTAAATTGCACTATTTACAATTTTAAAAAGCAGTATCTAGAAAACCTTTTAAAACATCACCTGAGCAAATACAGTATATATTCTTTTAAGATCTTTGGATGTCTTCCAAATATGTGAAAATAGTAAAGACATCCCTTATCCCTATTAACATCAATCCTTTCAAACAAAATTCTACATTTTTTTCCTCACATTTTTACCCAGATATATCTTGATTATTTTTCCCTTTATCTTTTTTAAACATGTTCTTAAAATCCATTCAAAACAGAAAAATATCCAATAAAAAGAAGGTATTCAAAATGACATTTCTGAAATGTCTGATGCCAAATCCTTTCAAATTATAAACTATATATTTAAAAAAATTAATTGACTCCCATCCACACATAATCTTTTCTATTAAAATAGAAATACTAACAGTGTCTGGAACAATAAAACTAAATATATGCCCTTAAAAAAACCATTAAATCATGCATGAAAAAGATTTTCTCTTTCAAATGGCATACGCTCCACATGCTGCTTCACATGGCAAAGCTTTGCGTGCCTGGCTCAGTGCCAGTTGACAGCTCAGCTGGATATCAATGCACATTCTGACCCCCCTTGTAGCATGTCACTTCTGAACTGTTTCACAAGTAGAAAGTTTATTCAGCATCTCCCCCAAGTGCAGTCCACTGCCCATCATTCTGCTATTTAATCATAAGACAAGTTACTTTATTTGACAGTACCAAAGCCAGAGTGAGAGTCAGAAAGAATAGTTTGCTACAACTGGAATTTCAATTGTTTTAGGCTCAATTAATTCTGTTGTCAAAATAAATAACTGCTCTTAGTACTTAGATTTTATGCTGGGCCACAAGGGCAATTTAGTTTGTATAAAAGCAAATAAGACCATTTTGGCTCTGCTTCCTGATGCTCTTTTACACATTATCTAAAAATGCCATCAAGAGTTCAATTAAATGCAGAAGAAATTAAAGGCAGACCTCAAAGAGGGCCAATGATCCAAAACAAAACAATTCTTATATATGATGCTTTAATCATCAGATAGGAATAAATTGCTGCTAGCAAAAGAAAAAGTCAATAACCTAAACAATTCATAGAAATCTAATCTGGAGCAAAACTTTTAAGAAATGTTACAGGAGGAAAGACTTTATTTAACACTAATCTTTAATCACTACATGTATTCTGTGGAATGAGGTAGAGTATTAAAAAATGTGAAATGTTTAATTAATAGTTTCCATTGTTCTGGAATCAATTCTAAATCTCAAGCCATCAACAAAGTTAGCAACTCTGTCTATTTATAAACTGGCCCCAAAACTCAAATAGGTTCGGGCTACCTAAATCAAGTATTTACTGCATAAACTCAACTAAAACCACAGATCACTGGTTCTAATTAGAAGCCAAAGAAAAACATACAAACATGCCCAGAACTGAAAGTTTAACAAAAAGTGATGATAATGAGGGAAGGGTGAGGAAGAGAGGAGGGAGAGGTGGGGTGAGAGGAGGCAGAGAGAAAGAGACAAAGGGAAAAGAGGCGGGGAGGGTGCCTCGTGAACAATGGGAGTCAATGGCTTTTCAAGCTTGCTCCTGGGCCTGTAGACTGCAACACAGCCACATTCCTACCTGTCTCAGATGCTGAACGAGGAAAGTTAACAGGAAAAAGAGGATCAAACTCTAGCTTGTGGTGGTATGCAAAGTGCATGGAGGTTCAGGTCCTGGTTTTGCCACTTGCTTGTTGGCTGGTTACCCTGGACTAGTTACTTACCTTTTTTAAACCTAGGTTTTATCATTTTTATGAATGATATGGAGAGGAGATAATACCTCTTGCCATATTTCCTTCCTCTTTCGCTATCTACACATATGGCAGACTAGAAGGATGTGCACTCATCTTCTACGAGAACTCCAAAATTGCAAGTTGCTGCTGAACAACCATTGACAGGAGAATGTTGCATCCCACCCCGCAAAGATACCCCACGTCCAAGGGCACAGGAGAAGCCACAGCACGATGGGAGGAGGAGCGAAAGTGCATTTAGAATCAAACCCCCTCGCCGCCAGAGACGCCTGGAGGGCTCAAACCAAACCTTGTGTGCACCAGGACCCAGAGACGGAGGCAGACCTGCCTCTGAATGTCCCACTGTCTCCCGAGGAGGCACAGGTCGGCAGTGGCCTGCCGTGGGGGCAGGGGCTCTGGGTGCAGCAGACCTGTGGCTGCTGCAGACCAGTATGTGGCATAAGCCCTCTTGGAGGAGCCCACCAATAGCCCCAACAAAGAGCTGCTGAGCAGATGACCCACAAACTGCAGAACAATTATACCAGAGAAATTCTCACACTGCTTATACAGTACTAGGATGCACAACAGATTTCCCAATCTGAGGAGCTGGCAGAGGGGACTTAGAACCCTCAGGGAAGTTGACTTTGGAGGCCAGTGGATTTGATTACAGATCTTACACAGGACTGGGGAAACAGACCCTTGGGGGGGGGAGGGACACAAACAAAACCCTGTGCACACCAGGAACCAGGAGGAAGGAAAGTGTCCCCACAAGAGACTGACCCAGACTTGCCTGGGAGTGTCCAGGAGTCTCTGGTGGAGGTGGGTCGACAGGGGTCTGCTGCAGGGTCAGGGGCACTGAATACAACAGTGCATGCACAAGTCCTTTCCAAGGAGGGCACCATTATCTTCATTACCTACACCACAGTTTGGCCTTAGCTCAAACAACAGGGAGGGAACACAGCCCCACCTGTCAACAGAAAATTGGATTAAAGATTTACTGAACATGGCCTCGCCTATCAGAACAAGACCCAGTTTCCCCCATAGTCAGTCTCTCCCACCAGGAACTTCCATAAGCCTCTTATCCTTAGCCACCAGAAGGCAGAATGAAAACCACAATCACAGAAAGCTAATCAAACCGATCACATGGACCACAGCCTTGTCTAACTCAATGCCGTATAGGGCCACCCAAGATGGACAGGTCACAGTGGAGAGTTCTAACAAAATGCAGTCCACTGGAAAAGGGAACAGGAAATAGCTTCAGTATTCTTGCCTTGAGAACCCCATGAAAAGGCAAAAAGATATGACACTGAAAGAGGAACTCCCCAGGC